TTAGCATCAGTGTCTCCAGCTTGTAGAAGGAGCTAGCAGAGAATGAGAGCTAGTGAACCAGTTTTCATGGAACGATGTTAGAGATGGGAGAAGTACTAGTTTCTAGAAAGAGACTTGTGTAGACATTGAAATTATCCTGGATAACTTCAAAGAACTAACAGTGAGGGAGTGGAGGATTGGAGGGTAGTGGGTGTTGTGACATATGAAGAAAGCTGGAATTGGTGTTTGCTAGAGAGTCTGGCTAAGATGAGGCTCTACAGCATATTAAAGCTGAAGTTCCTCCTAGAAGAGATGGGAATGAAGATTTAAGTTTGTGGGCAAGCAATAGAAGTGGGGAGTTCTCAGTTAAGAGTGCTTCTAAGATTCTGTGTCAATATAAATGGGGGCAAGGGGGGGGGGATTCGGGAGGTTTTGTGAAAATGGAAGGGACCAGAACGCATCAGAGTGCTCCTCTAGTTAGCAGCTCATGTTCACTTGTAGACAAATTCTTTGAGGAAGAGAAGATTGGGTATGGATGGGAGATGTCAATTTTGCAATATATGGGAAACATTGATGCATGTTTTTTAAAGGAATTCACCAAGGCAAAGGAGGTTTGGAATGAAATTAGAGTAGAGGAATTGCAATCAAATAACTAGCAAATCCCAAAGTGGGTACGACAAAATCTTTTAAGTAGTAAGAAGGTAAAAGGCGTATCTTGGAGCATTGTGTTTAGAGTCACTTATTAGACCCTCTGGAAATTAAGAAACTTGAAGATATTTAACCCAAATAGGGCTTATGAGATTACCTCTAGATAGGTTAAGTTCATCTGGAGTTTCAGTTTTCAAATAGCAACAACGAAGAATAGTAAAAAGGAAGTCTTAATAAGGAGAGTGGATGAAGAGGTGGAAGGAGTAAGCATATGGAGGGTTCTTGAGAGGGGTTGAACGAAATAATGTGGGTAGAGCTTGCAGGGCTGATTTGGGATCCGCAAGATGTGGAGGAATCTTAAGGGATAGTTAGGATTCTTGGTTTGAGGATTTGTCTTCCCAGATTGGGATCTACTCGATGATGGAGGCCAAGTCATGGGGTTTTTTTGGGGTTGGAAATGGCGCGGGACATGGGGATAAGAAAAGTTCAACTTCAACTGAATGCTTTGGAGGTAACTAGGAGATTAAGGGGGAAGGAGAAAGAAGATACCTTTAACTATGGTTTGTGGGCTTGGTTCTAGGAGTTCATGGAAAGAGGATGGGATGTGAAAGTGAAGTGGATTTGTCAGGATGACAATAGAAGTGTGGACATAATGGCAAGGTTGAGTTTTGATGGAGGGGAGAGGTTAAAGATTCGGAGAGAGATGCCGATTGAAGTTGTGAATAGTTACAAGGAAGTGCAAGCTTTCGTATTGTTTCAAGTTGCTGTGGAGGAAAGAAGAGATACCGTCGGCTAGGGTTCTTTTTGGTTGATTGGGTTTGGGCCTCCAATCTGAACACAAAAAAAGTATACTTTAACCCCCTTTATTTTATATTTCCAGCAAAATAGAAAGAATATGAGTAGATTTTGTAAAAAGAGTAGCTTTATCCTAATAATTAAATTGAGGGGAAGTATATAAAATAAATTAAATGTACATAAAAGTTTTATAGATATGACATAATATATATGACATCTTTACTTATTTAGGGTAAAAGGTTTAATTTTATCCCGAAAGTATTTATTTAAGAGTTATGGGTATCTGAAAGTTTTTTTAGGAATAATGTTGTTATGAAAATGTTAAAGTCGTAGCAATATCTCCCTGTCCTTTGACAAAGTTAATTTTGATCATTAGGTGACACGATTTTGTTGAGTTGGCACATAGGATATAATGCCATGTATTACTCACCTAGTATGCCACGCTAGCATCATCTTCCTTCCCGCCCTTTACTTGTCACCCCTGTACTCGTGGGAATTCAGCTCTGCCCCACCTCCTACTTCTCAAACCTTTCTTTCACTCCTTCATCCATTTCCTCCCCTCTCAAGTTCGACGCCTCCTCTTGCCATCTGTCTCCCCTTAACCTGGCCGGCAACAAGAAAATAGAAATCACTCTCCAGCAATGTCATCTCTAGCCTCACCAAACTCTTGCTCTTCAATATCTCTTCCCCGTTATCCACTGGACCCCTCACTATTCCCTCAACCTCCTTCGTTCTGATATCATCTTTGGCCTCACCATTGCCAGCCTGGCCATTCCTTATGTCAGTTTCTTCATCACAACTTCAACATAAATTACCACTTGCCTTCCATCTCTCCTCCCACACCATTAAAAAATCAGTCTTTCGGTTTTCTTATATCTGTCACCATCATGACTGCTTAACCTATTATGATTCTGAATATGAATTTAAGAATAATTTTGCCTTGAACTGCCGCTTGGTCAAAGTATATGTGTTTGCAGGTTTTTTGGAGTTCTAAAGAGAGAGAGGGAGAGTGAGTGAGTGAGAATGAGGATCACCTCTGTAGTTAGCACCGTAAAACAGAGCAATCAGGAAACAACAAAAAATGAAGGTGATAAACATGAGAGGGCTAGGAGTGGATGAAGGAATGAAGGGAAGGTTTGAGAAGAGGATGGGGCCGAGTCGAATGAGTACAGGGATGAAAAAGTGAAGAGAAAGAGGATGATGCTGACATGGCATAACACAACAGGTGATAATACGTGGCATTAAATTCCAGGAAAATTTGTAATAAGATCCCACCCAAGAGAATTAAATATAAAAATGTTTTTTAAAATTATCAAATTATTTTGAAGTCCCAGGTAGTGATGAGCACTTGGTTTTTCAGTTTGGTTTTCAGTGATAACCGAATTAACCGAATAGAGTGAATTTTAAACATCAAATTGAAACAGATTAACCAAATTAACCGAAACCGAATTAACTGAAATATTTCAGTTCAATTAACCAATTAACCGAAATATTTCAGTTCGGTTAACCGATTTATCGAAATATATATAATTGTGAAAGATAATTTTAAATTAAATAATAATAAAACACTATTACAACCATTAATTAATAATATTTCATCATTTAATGTGATTTATTATAATAATATTTATTATAACCATATTTATTGAATATAAATATATTTAAAGAGTTCACATACATATTTATTATAATAATCTTTATTAAATATAAATATATAATATATTTATCTCACTTTTAACCAAATTTTTTTCTACTAACCGAAACCGTACACTGAAATCAAATGTTTAAAAAATAAAAATCAAATTTGTAACCAAAAATTGAAATAAACGAACTGAAAAGCCAAAATTAAATTCAGTTTCGTTCGGTTTTCTATTATGGCTTGGTTTTGCTCACCCCTAATCTCAAGGGACCTCATTGCAATAAATTCCATTTGTTTAATTACCAAGTTGTCTTTTTTTTTTAAGTACGCATTGACAACTGAAAGAGTATTCATTAACAACTTAAGGTATAATGATGAACAACTATCGTGACAAGTATTAACAATACATTTTCTCAATACATCACAAAATGTAATGCATGAATTGTTAATAGCTGTCACGATAGTTGTTAATTGTTATACCTTGAGTTGTTAACGACTGCACTTTCAATTGTTAATGCATACTTTTAAAAACAGATAAGGGCAATTTGGTAATTAAATAAATAAAATTAATTGTGATGAGATCCCTTGAAACTTCAGATTAATTTGATAATTCCAAAGGACATTTTTACATTTAATTCTCATATGTAGGACCTTATTACAATTTTTCCTAAATCCTATGTGTCAGGGTCAACTCAACAAAATTTGGTCAATTAACGATCAAAATTAATTTTGCTAACGAATGGGCAACATTGTTACGTTGTTAACATTTCTTGGGTAACATTGCTCCTAAAAAAACTTCTGAATGCCTATAGTTCCTGATCTAATACTCCAGACCAAATTGGACATTATTCCATTATAAAATATACACTTATTTATATCTACATCATAATTAACAATAATACCCAAATGAAATGTGTTATTAAGGGGAAAAAACTTAATTACTTCATTGATTTTATGAAATAACTTATAAATAAAAAGATTAAAAAAACTTTTAAAACATGTAATGCAAATAGAAACATAAATGACTTATTTTTGGCCAAAAATTAAAAAAGAAGATAATTTATATGTAGACAAATATACAAGCGACATCGACTTTCTAAATTTAATCATTAGGATAAAAATGATGCTCTTTTTATAAAATTGACTCATATTCTTTCCATTTTTCAGTAAATAAAATCTAATCATTTTCTTTTTATTTGGACGAAATATAAAATAAAGGAACAATGAAAGAAGATAGTGAATGGGGAGGGTTATTAACTGCAATTCTTTCCAAAATATAAAACGAAAGAGAAAGACACTAGAGAATTGTAGTTGATGAAATGAGGTGTTCAGATGTAATTTTTATTTCTTATTGATGAAAAAAAGAAGGCAGCTAAGAGATAAAGAGACAATTTGTAAACTACTAGATGAGTTCAAATCGTTCTCTTAATGAACGACTTCTTCAATATTTCAAACGCATTTTTCTAATGAACGGTTTTTAATGTAGTATTTTGATAAATATTTTTAATCCAATAGCATTTTGATAATCTTTTTTTTTTATTGTTTAACCTATTTTGACTATAAAAAAAACCCCATGTTCACTGCGAGGTGGTCTTTTGATGCTGCAACACGGGCAATAGAAATAAAAAGACCACGTTTAATTAGCATTGCCATATTTGGAGAGGATCTAATAACATATGAAAGGAGATAGTGAATGGAGCAAACCAATAAATCAAATTTTGCATTCACAATTGAGCATTCAAAGGAGGGAAAATGATTCGAAGTATTCATTGCACGCCAAAAAAAAAAAACTAAAGTGTTAGGGCTAACAAAACACAAACTCTCTTGTAATTAGAAATGAGGTTTGCAGCTGCTTTGTTGAATATAATGAAAGTATATATATTAATTAAGAATGTATTTTAGAGCTCTCAAATGATACATAATCACAATAAACCCTAGTCTATCTCCCCTTACAATTTGAAATGGTTACTATATTTATGGAACATAACTCATTATTGTCTAAAGCCTGCTCTGCTGCATAAGACATAGCTTGCCTGAAGATGAATGCAGGTCGGCTTGGAGAAGGAAGATCCATCATCTCACTTTGAAGCATTGACATTATAGATGCCATAGTAGGTCTATCTTTTGCAAGTTCTTGCACACACAAAAGACCTATATGTATGCACCTCAATATATCATTGTGAAAGCTCAGATCATATATCTGCGGATCTATTAGAGGTATAATATTGCCATCGACCCATAATTTCCATGCCTAAAAAAATTAACAAGAAAAATAATAATTGTTAAACTTTGATGTTATATTCTCTGGGATAAACGTATTTTTAGAGCTTTTCTAAGAAAGGGATGTATGAATAGGAGAGGCTTACAAATCCTAAAAGTGTCAAAGATGCTGCCCCTGCATAAAAGCTAGTGTTTTTTCTTCCACTAATAATTTCTAGTAACAAAACACCAAAGCTAAAAACATCAGATTTCTCTGAATAGAGCCCTTCAGTTGCATATTCGGGAGAAATGTAGCCACTATAAGTAAACATTACATCTTTGATGAGCTCTCAATATACTATTAATATTATTACCTCAAGCAAAGCAAAATGAGCACTTACTATGTTCCAACGATTCTTTCTGTATTTGCCTGATCTTCATTGCCTCTAAACAATTTAGCCATCCCAAAATCTGATATCTTTGGATTCATTTCTTTATCCAATAATATGTTACTTGCTTTCAAATCTCTGTGTATAATTCTTAATCTTGAATCTCTGTGAAGATAAAGCAATCCTCTGGCTATTCCCTCAATTATGTTAAAGCGCTTTTCCCAATCAAAGGATTTTTGTTGTAGTGGATCTGCAAAAGATTGATCTGGTAAATATGTGATGAAGACAAATGTTCATAATAAGAATTTTTATTCATTTCCTGCAACATGATAGTGTCTGATATATTATTATTTGGATTGCGAGGTGACCTCTTGTAACTTCGTTTCTTGTACCTTAACTTGGTATCTGAACTTGCACATCAATAGGTATAAAAACACACATATACGTCAAAAACAGGGAATCATTTCTAGGAATGTCAACAAAAATGGAAGCATCAAGAGCATCAAGTCAATTAAGCAGTAAGTATTGAATTCGTGTTTCCCTAAATATTTATCAATTCTCAATGAAGTCCCCCCCCCAAAAAAAAAAATCTGATGCAAAGCATAGAAACATTCAATTTAACAAACTATCATATGCATAGAAGATGTTCACTGACCAAATATATAGGCATCCAAACTTTTGTTTGGCATGTACTCATAAACCAATATCTCTTCTCCTTCAATGCAACAGCCAAGAAGTCTAACAAGGTTTCGGTGTTGAAGCTTGGAAATCAATTCCACTTCATTTATAAATTCTTCCATGCCCTGTCCAGATGATCTTGACAATCTTTTTACTGCTATTTCCTGTCCATCTTCCAATGTACCCTAAAGTAAGATGATAAAATATATTAATTTCTTATGAAACGAAAGATGATAAAAGTTCCCAAAAAAAATAAACAAATGGAAGTCACCTTGTAAACTGGACCAAAGCCACCTTGCCCAAGTTTATTTACTATGTCAAAGTTGTTTGTTGCAGTTTCCAACTGTTTCAAATCAAACAATAATAGCTCTGGAATATGAACTTGCTTCAAGGACATAATCTGCCTCTTTTCTTTAGTCTGCATCTGCATTTCCCCTGTGTTTTACAGATTTTCCCCATTTCATTTCCCTTGAAAAGCACATATTGCTATTCTAATGCCAAGTTCCTCGAGCAATGAGTTAGCCATATGAAATTCTCACATATTCTTGATCAAAATGAAGAAACGCAAATGTTCAATATATTATCTGAGATTGCAAAGTAATGACTCTATCCTGTATAAATAATTAGAAACAAAATCACCGATCCCTTGAATGAACTCTTACAGTGAAATTGAAAGTTACCTCTCTGCTTTGAGCACTTTTTCCATAAGAAATATCCAGCCACAGTAATGAGAATTGTTCCTATCAAAACTGATATTATAATAGGTGTTGTCATTTTCCTACTGCCTTTACCTGTATCAAAGATCAAAGAAGAATATTCAGAGAGCCTTCATTTGCTGACAATAAATTCGAAACTCCCTGAAAGAAAATCTTCCGCACGTTTTAAAATTCTTTTGAAGAAATAAAAAACAATACAATTTGAAAATAAGTTCAAAGGTAACATCGTTCCCAAGATATATAACATGGCATATCATGTAAAAAGTCATACAACAAGATATATATAATGCTTAAATGAAATTTAAAGTTGAATCAAATCCTAGTTAAGTGTTAAAAAGCTTTCTTTAATTAAGATATATACATAGTTCTGAGTTGGCTAAGCGTATGTAAACATCTACTCCATCTGGTAAGCTTTGCATGTCAAGTAAATCTGTATTCCAAATCATACATCCAAGGTTTCTTTCATGGGCATAAGCTTTACAAGAGCAATTCTTGAGGCATGAAATTTGACAATCTTCAGGATCCTCAACATAAGAAGGTAACACCTGTGCCTCACCTGGTACTTTTACTTTCTCCACCATAAAAAACCCATCTATGTTGCTGGCTTGAGAATCATTTTTGTCTCTTTCACACTGAAGTGCCTCTCTTCTCACGCACCCATTGGTCCAATTCTGCCTTGCCCATTCTTCTTTGTTCTTTGGTTCAAACCCTCTCAAGCAGCTACAAATTGGAGAGTTCTGCAAATCACAAATCCCAAATGGGCCACATTTGCCATAAACATCACAATCTGAAGAATACATTATCCTCCGAAGATCCCATGCATTGGTCTGGGAATTCCAGAGCCGTTGTTCAACTTTGCCCTGAGAATTTAACGTAAAACTCCAGAGGGACTTGTCTGAATAAAAAGATAGGTTGAAACTCCCTTGTTCTCCTTTCAATTGGAACCCAGTTTGGGAGTTAGATGAAATTGTCCTAGGTATCCCAAGGAAGTTTACGCCATCCCAGGGACCACTTCGAAAATAAGGATGATTTTCTTTCCACACGAATATTTCTGTAACATTACGAGGTTCGAGACCGCAGGAAAATTCTCCAGAGGATGGATCAGATGCACTTTTCCATGATGTAAGCCTCACTTTCTCACCTGTGTGTTGATTAGTACTAAGTTTCATGTCTTGTAATAATGTGTCACAAGGATGTTCGAAACTCTGCCACACCGTAGATCCAGTAATACCATCTACTAGTACAAGGTTGCCAGAATCCAAGAGCTGAGCACTGGAATTTGATGCAATACTTGAGACATTTGTTGACCATAAAATCTGTTTTTGCCCATCCAAAACAACAAGATTGCCATTATTCTCTGATATTGTGAGAATTCCCGAAGAATCTCTTAGTGGGTTGTTTCTATTAGCTACCCAAACAACATTGGATTCAGACAAAAACCAAATTCCCACATAGCGGTTTGTTGAATTCTTCGGACTGAAGAATCCCAGTGTGAACATGCTAATATTTGAGCTCAATGTTTCAGGTTCATGGATCAACACAGATGGCTCGATGATGTCCAAGGCACAGACCAGAAGAGCAAAAGACAACAAATATATAAGAAAAGAAATTAAGAAGCATATATATCTACTGAATCCCATGAAGAACATGGTGATAATCGGAAGTGGAGGAAGAAGATAGGCTTCGAAATGCTATGAAGGATAACCCGTAGCCTGTTCTACTTTGGTTATCCTACTATGCAAGCAAGGCTAGCAATATCATTACAGCATATAATATATAACAAAATTTAGAAATGTCGCGAGGCCTTGAACACCAAACACGACTAAAATAGCTAAACTAAATTTTCTCTTCTATTAGTGATTGTCAATTAGTACAGCCGTCTCATTCATCGATCCTAGACTTCGAAATTATGGTGTGAACAAAAGAATTTAAAAGCATACCTCTGCAGTGCAGTGACGAATTTCCCCCGCCCCACAAATTTTATAATTGAAGTTACCTGAGAAAGCTCAGTCTTTCCGGGTTTTAAAAAAATGGTAAAAAACAAAAGAAAGTTCAATCTTTTTCATAGTTAAAAAATTAATGGTTAAATTAATTAAGAAACAAGCTAGGAATTTTTTATGCGTGTTATGCGTGTTTTCTCCTTTTTATTATTTCATTGTTTACTATATATTTACTCACAATATACTCAAAGAAAGTTCAAACGAAGTGCATTAGTTTATAGCAGGTAGAACATTTTATATCACTTTGATTGATGATGAGGTGCTTCAGTTTCTACAATCCTAATCTCCTAAACAAGTCCTGGACAATAGAATTTAACACAATTTTGTTTAGTTACCCAAAGAATAATGGATTCAGACGTGAACTAAATTCCGCAGTGGCGATTTGTGGAATTATGTACAGTGAAGAATCCCAGCATGAACAAGAAAAGTAAGTGATGACAAACAAGAAAGCATTTTTCTGTACTCAATCCCACCATAAACATGATGATTATCAGAAAATGTGTCTTCAAATGCTGTGAAGGGTAAATCCTAATCTCGCATAGTATAGTTATCCGACTCAACGAAGCAGTTTCTCTGTATAAAATTGATAACTAAATGGGTTAAGGTTTATCTAATATTGTAAAGTATTTTTTCATATGAGCCTGACACTTCAAAATATGATGCGATTCATTTAATATTTCAAAGTATTTTTTTCAAATGCACCTAACATCTTAATATTTTAACAGCAAAGTTGCACCATAAAATATGATAAGGTGCTAAACATCTAAAATAATATTCTAGGGTGCTAAATGAACTAAAATATACTCTTTCGGTTCTAAATATAAGACTCATTTTGTAATATAAAATACACTAAAAAATCGATCTTATATTTAGAACCGGAGGGAGTACTTTGTAGTGTTAAAATCACTTGGCAAGGTCACATCATAATATATTTTATGGGTGTTTGACCTATATCCTTTAGGCTAATGAATAAATCTTAACCATAATTAATTTATAAAGATTAAAATAATTAGTTAAATTAATTATTTAAAAGACAAACTAAAATAAAATATTATAGTTAAAAAAATACTAATATTTAGAAGAGTAAATGTAAAAATTTACACTAATGCATCCAGTGTCCTATTTTTTTAGTAGAACAATTTTACTCATAATATTTTTCTGTGCAGCACTGAAAGATGAAAGGTAGAGTTGCATAAAAGATTATGGCTGAAACAGCAAAAAAGAAAAAAGGAAAGAAAAAAATTATAAGTAATATTACACTGTAAAAATTGGGTTGCTGAATATATATACCTGAAAAATAAAATACGTGTAAAATTGCACATTTATGCTATTTAGACTCAGTCAAGGGATCTTAGTGCCCTCGTTATCAACTTTTTTAATTTCCTTATTGTTTTCCCCTTTGGGCAAGACCGGTCATATTTATGGTTTTAATAATTGCCACTTCAAGGTCTTAAAAATATTTGAAGCTGTTGAAACTAACTTATATTCTGCGAAAATTATAATATATTTATATATTTTGCCAGCTGCAAAAATTGTATTGTCAAGCCAATTAATCATCTTCTAGGTGTATGTGAGATAGATGACTTGCAAACAAGGGTAAGCGCAGCTTGAGGAGGAAGGGGGTCCAATCTTTTTAGTATAAATATATATTTATATGGCGTGCACAATGTAACTACAATTATATATTTTTGTATATTTAATAATAATGCCCCTTTATCATGCATAAGGGTAAGATTAGATTGGGTTTAATTGGCTTTGCCATTTATTAAAATCCATGTGACTTTGAGTATTCAGAGATGTTTACGTTATTCCCAATAATAGGGCTCGGTAACAGATCGCTTCTTCCAAAGCACGTCCCGTTCGTTCAGCTCGCAACAATCCAATTAGTTCACCGGGTGAAAAAACATTAGACATTCCATCTTCTGAAACCAATACTTTTGATGTTATTTGACTAGCGAATTGTTATTCAGTGATTATATTTGACCAAAACATGAAAGTTTGAAGAAACATTATTTATAGTCTCTATCTATCTATTATATTTAGTTATGTATCTGCGCGCAAATTTTCAATGAAGCACAAAAATGATCTGTGTATAATTTATAATTAGTGTTACGTAATGCTTAACCTTCCAATTGGATTTAGGGAAAATGACAAAAAAAATTAAAAATTACTAAATGTCAACACAAATTTGGTGCTGTCAGTACCAAATAAAATGTTGTTACCAAACTTGAACTGAAATTTAGTAAATTTCAGCTTTCTTTTTTTGTCATTTTTTCTTGGATTGACCGTGTAAATCAAGTCATTTTGTCTGACTTTATTCTCAAATATTGATGTTTTTAAATAATTTTTTTGGGAAAGATGTAAAAATCTCATAAACTTTTAACCAAAGTACATTTAGTATCATAAAGTAATACCCATAAATTTGCAAAATCAAAATTAAAAAAAACACACGTTAAAGTTGCCTAATGGTTCTTAATTTTTGTGGTAAAGCCTATACTTTAAGAAAGTATCAAAATATTTCTAACTTAAACAAAAAAATAGGATAAAAATATAAAAATATGTATAAACTTTCAGTTAAAATGCGTCAAATACCCTTTTTTTTTTTGCATATGCAAAAGTGTTAGTGGCAATCTCACCCAAGAAATAGGTAAATTGGGTGAGTTATAAAAATTTTACGAAATTAAAACAATGAACTAACAGAAACAGAGAGTGTGAGTTGGAGAGATTTCACCGTAGAAAAGTGGACACAGAATTTATACTGGTTCGGTCTCAACCATTTGACTTACATCCAGTCCTCAAAACACCTCTGAGTATTCCACTATGTTCCAAGATTGATCGGGCTCTTGGTGCTGTAGTACAGTAGTTGATACTCTCAATCATTCCCTCTTACTTCTCGTAAGGTTACAATCGCACTCAAGAGTCCACATTCTTGAGTATCACACAAGACGTGATTAATGATGAAAAATATAAACTCTCTTATAGAATGAATAAGTGATAATCACTAAAGTTCGGTGTATAGAAGAACAGAATATTGAATGTAACAGTAAATAATCAACAGAGGGTAGCTGCGTATTCAATCTGTTCATTTAATGCTTCTTCGCGCCTTTTATAGTTGAGGTAGTTTAGTAACCGTTAGACGGAAGAGCTTCTAACCGTTGAGAGTCCGATTGCGTATTTTTCCAGTTGCAATGGTTTTCGCCATTAATGCTTCTGACAAGGTAAGTTACAGGCTACTTAAACAACTATTGGAGAGCCATTGGTTTTTCTTTGCAATATGCAATAATAAGTTAATTCAATAAGTTTTTTTCTTTGCAGAGTAAGATCAAAAGCAGAACCAAACAAATGATAAAGTGAACATTCATAGTTTACAAGTAGAATCAATCAGTTGTTAAATGTGCTGAGCAATAACTGAATGTGCTTGATTGAAGTGATGATCGATTACTGGTTGATCGATCAGGTTATTGATTATTCAGAGTAAGAGCTTTTGAAACAGATAACTAAGTTTATCGATCAAGTGATAGATTAATGATTTATCAATCCACTTATCGATAAAATGAACAATGGCTTTATACTGATATGCAGAGAAAAAGAAGATCAAGGTCACTTTTGATTTTAAATATCTTCAAATAGAAAATTAAGATAAACATGAAGACTGAAAAAAGCTTAAATGAAATAGATGATAAATTTTGAGAAACATCGTGACTGGTTGAAGTTTAAACTAAAATCGCTCCATGATCGAACAAGTGATCGAACACTTGTTGATCGATCAAGTTATCGATAAACATGGTGTTATAGAAATAGATTTTAAAACAATAATTTTCAAACACATTATCGATAAATAGATGATGGATAACCTTATCGATAAACAATAAGCAAAAGTATATTCAGTGAAAACTCAGGCTATGTGGGTTAATCGAATAGGTGATCGATTAATGAATGATCGATCAAGTGATCAATAAAGAGGTTTAATCCTGCAAAGTCAAAAGAACTGATTTATATCGATCACGTTATGTGAAAAATAAGGTAGATATGTAAGTGTGATGATCGATCATATTATCAATAATCTGATTATCAATTCAGTGATCGAAGAACCATGATTTAAGAGTGATGTATTGATTATCGATCATGTGATCGATAAGTTGTTGATCAATCAGGTGATCGATAAGCTTCTGAAATAAGTACCTGCACACAGTGTTATGAAGTAATGTTCGATCATATTATCAATAAATGACTGATCGATAAATGGTGACTAAAACAAAACATAGAATGAGTAGAGCGCATTACCATTTATCTGTCTCTTCATCGATAATCTATTTATCAATCATGTTATCAATAAATGCCTATCAGATTTGTATTCCTTTATCTGACAGATGTTCAATCATCCTGATTATCGATCAAGTGATCGATAATTTACTCCAGACTTTTATACATAACTAAATTAACAATGATTGATCAATTGATTGATCAACACATTATCTAACAAGTTATCGATCAAAGTTTCTGCTAAGTTACTTGATTGTACAGAGATATTATCTATTAGCTTATCAATAAGTCCTTGATCGATCAGATGATCGATCAACATACTGAAACACAAATTTCTTATTTTGTTATCATCAAAACCTTAATCCTAACAAAAAGTACCTATGATGATGGAAATAAATTAATTCTTTTAGTTTTGGTCAAAAATAAAACTCTATTAAAGTTCATTATACTATTATAATATTAAGAAGTTTATGGTTAATGAATAAGTTTGATCCTTTTATTTTACATCAAGTTTTTAATTTAATTCTTTAAATTCATAAATATATTTTCAGTGATGGTGAAGAAAATAAAGTACAGTTTCAATCACTTAATAGTAATATTGTCAGTCTCATTAAAAAAAAATACTAACTCAATGAATTTAGATGGCAACTCTACAATTATACTTGGTGAAATGAGGAGATTTACAATGAACATATTTACAAGAAATATAGGGATATTTACAACAATATATAAGGGAATTAACAACATAAAATAGGCCTCATGTTTCTTTTAAATCATCTAATTTATGTTGTAAATATCCCCTTGTGTTTCTTGTACTTAGTCTCACTTTTGTTGTTAATTTCCTTATGTGCCTTATAAATTACCTAATTTTTATAGCTAATTCTTTTATGTGTTATTAATTTTCTTATACTTCTTATAAATTGTCTAATTTTCGTTTTAAATTCTCTTATTTCAATTGTTCATCTACATCTTGATATGAACATTTTTCTCTCCACAAAACCTCCAATGGGATCTTGCTTTGTAAATCACTTTATTTTGCTTTGTAAATCATCTTATTTTACTTGGTTATTCATAGTTGGACATTTATATTTGTTTTGTTACATAAATTTTTGTTTGTTTGCATCATTAAAGGGATTGGATGACTTGATGGCCATTGGCCACAATTTTTCTTCTTGGATCACCAAAACTCCAGTTGGGTAGTTGATCTTTCCTTCAACCAATTTTATTTCTATTTAATATATATATGTTTTTTTTAAAAAATATCTACGTTACAGTAAATAAAAGATAAAATAGTATATTTACATTAAAAATTTAATGAGGTGGTTTATAAAAAAAAAGTACCAAGAAAAATCTTTCCTCTTCGCTTCATAAACAGGACTAGAGGAGTATTTACTAACCAAAAAGCAAAACATACATACAACATAATTATTTTTTTAGTTTTGTAATTTTATTTAAATTTTAATATCATAAACACTATTTGAAACTTCATAAGGATATTATTGAAAACAAATTATAATTGCATGTTAAAATTTGAAACAAGAGTATATCTAAATATAAAATTAAAATTAAAATTGGAGTTAAGACGAATAAATAGAAAAAACAAATTATTAATTTTACAATGAATAAAAAGGTTATCGAATATGATTAACATAAAGTTAATTAATTTATCACTTCTTCTCATTTTTAGCTATCCTTCTAGAATACATTTGATTAATTATCGTAATTTATTGCTATTTTATTTATATTTTTAAAATTTAAAGATGACATTATTTATCAATATCACTATTTTAAATTATATCTTTATCTTCACTTACCAATTAAATTTCAAAATCTAAGGAAGCATTAATTATGCATAAAAAAATAAATTAAAAGAGCACATAAAAAATAATAACATTAACTAATTTTCTTATATTATTATAATTACAAGTTTCTAACAGGTTTTGACCAGCCTGACAAGCTGAATAGGCTTCTCAAAAAAGACATCGTCTATTAAACTAAGTCCTTAAAAAAGTTGTGTTCCTAATTTTAAATAGGTCAAGCCTAATGTATGTTAGATCAAAACCCCTAATAGGCTGTCTGATCTATTTTCATTTCTAGTGATAAGGATCTAAAAATGTGTAGAGTTAGGAGAACAAACTGAAACATGCATAAAGTTAAATCATAAAATACATAATTTAGGCCTTTTTTCCCCCCGGAAAATCTGAGTCAATGATAACCCATCCTATGTGGCACCAAGACTCTTAAAATTGGCCCATTTAATCAGCGCCACATCAGAAACCCTCTGCTTTCCAATTGGCGGCGAGTCGGCGACTCACAAAAGCAACGCTGGTTTGACTCACAGCAACAGACAAGGACGTAAAAGAAGGCGACAAAGATGGCGAAGAAGTAGCAGGTGGCGACGGCGGCAGCGGAGGAGCACCACGTGCTTTCCTTGAGGTACGCTTTACGTAAATCAGATTCTGGTATCCCTCTCCATGCTTTGTCTTCTCTCCCCCACAAATTCCTGTACTATTCCCTCCCGGCCCCGCCCCCCTGTTTCTTTTCTCTCCCATACCCCCTCCTCTCTGTTGCATCTGTAGACTTTTTACATAAATTGAGGTTGGTCAAGGATTAATAATCAATAAATTAATAAATACGAAGTAGATGTTCAGATGATAATGATTATGGAAACTAAGTGTATACAGACCGATATATAATATCATTGTTATTTCGATGCTCTAATTCTCATAGGTTTTATGTTTCATAGAATGCTTAATTCATTCTAATTAACAGTTCAATCCTTAAAGCTTGTTACTGTAGAAGGAGGGGTTTCTGATTTTTGGTCACTTAGTGCCTGTTTGGCATCACTTATTTTGAGCTTATAAGTAGCTTATAAGCTCTATAAGCTCGATTGACATAATATGTATGTTTGGATCATCTTTTCTGCAATCGGGCTTTTGTCTGAAAAGCTACAATAAGCTATAAGCTAAAATTAACAATTTATGACTTATAACTTATGGCTTATAACTTTTGAAATATGGAGAGAGAAAAAGTTAACAAATTTATTACCTCTTTTGGTTCTTATTATAAGCCTCAAATAACTAATTTGTATATAATAAAAAATCAGTTAAAATTAGTTGAAAGTAATGAATAAGTTAGAAATATATTTTTATTTTTAAATATGCTTCTAAAAATATACTTTTATTTTTTCATGTTTCACTTTATATTTAAAATATTTTTTATGACTTCTTCATATTAAATTATTTTAATTTCATTGTATTATGTGAAATTATTTTTTTAATCATGTTTCATTATTTATTAAAAATCATATATATTTTGGTCATTTTACAACCAAAGTTACTTTTACTCAATTACAATCCAAACAACCTTTTACCAATATCACTTTTGTAATCTAGCTTTTCTGAACTCTAATCCAAACACAATTCAGCTTATGCAATTTAGCTTTTATCTAATTTCACTTTTCTATAAGCTACTTTTTCAATGAGCTACTTTTCCAATCGCTGATCCAAATGGACCCTTAGTTTCTGATTTTTGGTCACTTACATTGAACAAAGTATTGAAGCCCAAACCAAGAATCCCTGGCCTATGGTTCATGCACCATTCTTTGGGAGCTGTACTGAGAAGTTTGTTTAAAATACAATTTTAAAATATCAAGTTTGTTTTGGCCTGTAGAACTTTGGCCTCCCTTTTGTCTTTTTATTTTATTGGTTTGTTTTGCTTCTTGAATGTATGATGATATCATATACTACTAGATATCACCACTGATACACTGAATATAAATTTTGTCCTTAATTTGAACTGTATGTTATCTTCAGCCAGATATCTGAAAACTTGTTCTTGGAATATGAAATCTGTTGTGAAAAATGCAGAAGGGCTACATGAGTTTATCTTCTTTCCAAATACAACCAAAACAGTTCAATCCTGTCATAACTTCCTATCAACACGTGATTCCTTCCGTTCCCTTTTGTATGCTGTTCTAACCTCGTGTCAAGAGGAAAAGGTATTATTAGAGCTTGTGGAGTTCTTAATGATGATATACCCTTTTGGAAAATTCACCTGAAAGCAATAATTGTTCATCCTACATACTCAGATGCTACACACATTTGTTATGCTGCAACACAAACATTAGAAGTAAGGAGAAGTTTTTATTTACACTTTTTCATATTTGTAAAGGATCTAATAGTATAAGAATAGATGTGTTGAACAAAATTACAATGCAGCACATTGAAGGAGGGAGAATAACCATACATATTCATTAAATACAGAAAATATTGAACATTAAAGAACAAGACAGCAGATTATGTAGGAACAAAGGTTTAGAGCTACACTGTTCAAGATCTTGAAATCACTTATCAATGAACAATGCTTCAAATGAAACAAGAACATCGCCAACCCCTTCTATCTCCCCTCAAAATTTGAGATAGTCACTTTATTGGTAGAATATAAATCATCATTTTTTGGAGTTTGCTTGATTGAATGAGGCATTTTCTGTCTGAGGATGAATGCAGGTTGGCTTGGGGGAGGAATATCCATGATCTCACTTTGAAGCATTAACATTATAGAGACCATGCTGGGCCTATCTTTTGCAAGTTCTTGCACACATAGAAGACCTATGTGTATGCACCTTAATATATCCTTCTGAAAGTCTGGATCATATATTTGTGGATCTATTAGAGGTGTAATGTTATCATCAATCCATAGCTTCCATGCCTGTAAACATTAACAACAATAAAAGATGATTCTAGGTAAATTTCAATATTATGTCAATACTAGAAAGGGCTTTGAAGTTTTTGCAAGAAAGGAAGTCACAAATCGCAGAGACTTACATATCCTAGTAGTGTAAATGTCTCTGCATCTTCGTAAAAACTAATATTTTTTCTTCCACTTATAATTTCAAGCAGCAAAACGCCAAAGCTAAAGACATCAGATTTCTCGGAATAGAGTCCTTCTGTTGCATATTCTGGAGAAATATAGCCACTACATTTAAACAAATGTTTTAGCTCTCAGATACTACTGATATTATTATCTAAAACAGAACAAAAGTTGCACATACTATGTTCCAACAATTCTCCCTGTATTTGCTTGATCTTCACTACCTCCAAAAAGTTTAGCCATCCCAAAATCTGAAATCTTTGGGTTCATCTTTTCATCCAACAATATGTTACTTGCCTTCAAATCTCTATGTATAATTTTTAATCTTGAATCCTTATGAAGATAAAGCAATCCTCTAGCAATTCCCTCAATTATGCTGAAGCGCTTCCCCCAATCTAAAGATTTCCGTCGTAGAGGATCTGTAAAAGATTATTTTAGGAGGGATGTTGGAGGAAGGTAACTGTTTTAAGGAGACTCCATTTAATTCCTGCGATGTGCAAGCAAAGAGTGGAAGTATTTGGTACGCTAGGTGATAGGTGTTCTCTTGTGACTTAGTCACTTGTGCCCCTACCATTTCTCATTAGATAAACCACATGAAATGTCCATCCACTACCTTGGACTTGCACATCCAAAGATACAAAAAGACACATGTACTAAGAAACTCGAGAAGCATTCTACGATGTCAACAAAGTGGTAGCATGAGTAAAAAATATGAGTTGAGGTTTCAAACCTGTGTTTCTTTAAATGTTCACAAACATTCAGTCCAGTTTTTCTTTATCCGCCTCTTCCTCTTATGTACAGTGTAGAAGCTAAAAAAATCAGATTTAGTAAACTATCGTATGCATAGAAGATGTGTACTAACCAAAGATATATGCATCCAAGCTTTTGTTTGGCATGTATTCATAAACCAATATCTCTTCTTCTCTTTCAATGCAATAGCCAAGAAGTCTAACAAGATTTCGGTGTTGAAGTTTAGAAATCAACTCCACTTCATTGATAAATTCTTCCATACCCTGTCCTGATGATCTTGATAGTCTTTTCACTGCTATTTCCTGTCCATCCTCCAACTTACCCTGAAATAATATATAAAAAATGCTAATTCCTCATAACTTACAAGACGATGAACTTTAAAAATTGAAAATCACCTTGTAAACCGGACCAAAACCACCCTGCCCAAGTTTATTTTTTAAGTCAAAGTTGTTTGTTGCAGTTGCCAACCTTCTATGGTCAAACAATGATAGCTCCTGAATTTTGATGTGTTTAAGGTTTGTAATCCTTCTTTTTTCATCAATATGCATCTCCATTTCACCTGTATTTAACACATCTTTTTCCATTTAATTTTCATGGAAAAACAGACATTGCTATTCTAATACCAGGCTACTAGAGCTTTAAGTAAGCATTTTGAAGTTCCCATGTAATTTGTAAGGAAACATGGAAACTAATACAAGTTGTGATAGCATGATAACTTTCTCATTGGCATGTTCCTTTTTCTCTTCGTATGCTCTGATAATCATGTCAATCAGGAGCTTTACAGTAAGAAACAAAATCATTGACCCCCATAATAAATTCTTGCAGTAAAACATAAAACTTTACCTTTTCGCTTTGTTATTTTCTTCCATGAGAAATATCCAGAAGCAGTAATGAGAATTGTCCCCATTAGAACTGATATTACAATAGGTGCTGTTATGCTCCTAGCTCTACCTGTATGAAGGAAAATACGAAATATTCAGATAGCCTTCATTTCCTGACGAGAAGTTCAACATTCTACAGTATATATGTTCATCAAAAGAAGTGAAGAAATAAGATAAAGTTCCACAGTTATTTGTTATCTCATTTAGGTATAAATACAGAACATGTGGAGTTGTTTTACAATCAAGCACCACACTAGTACGTTGACTCCTTAAAAGGAATATAGCACCACATGTTATAATTCTATTTCACAATCTAACAACAACATCAATACCCAAGTCAAGAAGCACCGCCATAGACAAATAGGTAAACCGACTTGATATGACTCCTGTGACAAATATATGATGCTTGAATCAAATTTGAAGTTATTTATCAAATTTTGGAATTTTTCTAACTAAATGAGGTACCTAGTTCGGAGTAGGCTAAACGTATGTAAAGATCAACTCCTCCTCCTTCTAACAATCTCTCCAGGTCAACTAAGTCTGCATTCCAAAGCATACAACCAAGGCCTGAGGCAAATGCATAAGCTACACAAGAGCAATTCTTCAGGCATGAAGTTCTACAATCTACAGTGCCTTCAAAGTTGAAAGGTAACGCCTCTGCATGATCTGGTGGTTTTATCCTCTCCAGCTTTATAAACCCATCTGTCTTGTTAACTTGAGAACCATTATTTTCTTTCTTACACTGAAGTGCTTCCCTTCTTATGCACCCACTGGTCCAGTTCTGACTTTCCCATTCTTCTTTGTTTTTTGGTTCAAACCCTCTCAAGCAGCTGCAGATTGGTGAGCTTAGCGAATTGCAGATCCCAAATGGGCCACATGTGCCATAAAAATCACACTCTGTGACACCAGTTATCCACTCAAGCTCCCATATATTTGTCTGGGGATTCCAACGTTGCTTTTGTATTTTACCTTGAGGATCTAGCCTAAGAGTTAGCAACAATGATTTGTCTGTGTAATGAAAATATATCTCAAAACTCCCTTTCTCTTCTTTAATCTGAAACCCATTCAGGAACGTAGATGAACTCTCAGGCACCCCAAGAAAGTGTGTGCCATTCCAGGGACCACTGCGCCAGTAAGGATGATTTTCTTTCCATATGAACACTTCAATAACATTACGAGGTTCAATACTGCCAGCAAATACTCCATAGGATGGATCAGCTGTACTTTTCCATGATGTAAGTTGCACTTTCTCACCTGTTTTCTGAATAGTACTGAGTCTCATGTCCTGCAACAATGTATCACTAGGATGCTGGAAACTTTGCCACATGGATACTCCGGTAGTTCTATCTACAAGGACAAGGTTTCCAGTATCTAACAGCTGAGCACTTGAATTTGATGCAATTGAGACATTTGTTGACCAAACAACTTGTTTTTGCCCATTCAAAACAACAAGATTGCCATTCTCTGATATTGTGAGAATCCCAGATGTATCTGTTAGTGGGTTGTTTCTGTTAGCTACCCAAACAACAGAGGATTTGGACATGAGCCAAATCCCTACATAGCGATTTGTGGAATTCTGAGGCCTGAAGAATCCCAGCGTAAACATGTTATTGTTTGAGCTTACTTTTTCAGGTTCTTGGATTAACAAAGATGGTGTGATGGTGTCCAAGGCGCAGACCAGGACACTAAAATAGTACAACAAATATGCGAAAAAGGTTAGTAACAAGCAAGCTTTTTTACTGAATCCCATAATAACTAGACGGTTATCCGAAATGGAGCCAGAAAATGGGTTTTGGAATGCTGTGAAGGAGAACCATCGACTGCTTTCTTATGAACGAAGCAATGCTTCTGTCACAGTTATATCTTAACATGCTACACAGCTATTTTATTCGTACTGTCGTCATTACAAGTTTTTTCCTCCCATTTTTCTCTTTGGCTATGACTGGTTCTGTTTATGGTTTTAAAAATTTGCCCCTTCATCCATTAAAAATGGTTGAAGCAGTTGAAACTTGCTTGTTCTGCTAAAATGACTTCATTTTATATTGTATGGTCAGGTGGATTATCTTCAAGAGATTATTTGAGATGACTCCAGCAAATTATTTGACCAAATCAATGAATTTCCAAGAAATATTATGTGATCTCAACTCAGCATCTTACAAATATTTAGATGCAAGATGGTCCATAATATTGTGGCATCTGACTGCTATTCTTTAATTTTTCTTAATAAAAATTATTTTTTCCATAAAATTTTAGTTATGCACGTTGACATACGAACCTCTGATTATTATTAGATCTTCGGTTAGATTGGATTAACAATGTAAATTGTATCGCTTTGTCTGACATATTCTTTTACGTGCGAATTGGCCCAGTTTAAGCAAAATGATAAATGGCCTGCGAAATTTAACTATAATTTTATTTTTATACTCCTGTGGTCTTTAGTATGAGATCTATTTAACTAATTTGATTAAATTAAAAAAGTTAGGTAAGTTAGCTAATTGTAAGAAATATGACACGGTTTTTGTAAAATGCCATAATCATCTTCTTTGATATTCTCTCTCTCTTCTACTTGATTATGGTTGAGAAAGTATCAATAAGAATAATTTAAGAAAAAATTGATAAATATAATAAATAATTCTTATATTTAAGATTAAGATTAATACAACAATTATATCCGACATTATTAATGGCAGAGTATGTTTTATTTCATCTTTAATGAGTACATTTAATAACAATATAAATTAAAAAAGTCAGGTTTGAATGAAATATATTTTATTTTTATGTCAGTTTCTCTGACTTATTTGAACATGATCTTTTATTAGGAGTGCTTTTTTTTAATATATTTTAGTTTGGGTTAATATAATTTCTGGTTCTTAAAGTTTTTTATTTTTATTTTGGTTTTGATCTTTCAATTTTCAAATCTTGGATTTTGATTCTTTAAGTTTCTTTTTATTTAAAATATTAGTCTCTATAGATTAATAAAAATTTGGACCATTTTGTCCATTAAGGGATCAACTTGAGGCGCCAAAAAAAAATACATAATCTTATATTTTAATATGTTTCATGTTAGGAGTGATTCACAGAAGTTGGCCTTCTATAAGCAAAATGATAAATGGAATTGCAACTACAATTTTTATATTTATGTATTTAATAACGGTGATGAGGTATAATAATAACGTTTTGCAGGGATCAAATTAGACGGCCGTCTTTTCAGCTCAAAAAAAACAAAAAAGAAAAAGACTGCAGTATCCCAACGAGTCGGTCTTTATACCCATCTCATTAAAATTAAAAGAAAAAATTCTTGAAAAAATGACATTGAATCTTCTAAAAACAGGAATGGCAGGCAAATCGTCAAATTTTGGGGGAAAAAAATAGGTTTTTTTGGGCCGGAATTAAATTTTTTCTCAGTTAACTTTTTTCTAACGTCTTTTCTATTTTCCAAACACATCTTTCATATTTTCAGTTCTAAATTTTTCAATAATTTAGAAATATTTTTAATATTTAGCTTCCATGTTTTTAATTAAATGTAAATTATAAGTACTAAAAATATTTAAAATGACTACCTAAAAAATTAAAATTGATTACTAAACTATCTGCTATTACTTTTATTGTTAATTTATTAATGGGAATTGTCAAGTCAAATAACAAGGATATGGATTAAACAATTTAGTCGAGTGCAAAAACTTGATAAACATTGCGTCAGTTATATACAACTCCTTTGATATTTCAAAATTTAAATTTACACTCTTTAGAATTTTAATTTTTAAACATAAAATCCCTGCTGTTATTTATTGGAGAAATGACATGAAAAAAAGTTGAAAATTACAATATTCCAATTCAGGCACCTAAGAGTTCAAAATCCTAGAGGAGGAAGTGGTACCTCATTTGGTATTTTGCAAATGTAATCTAATGACTAAAATGTCCTTGTATCAGATTAAAAAAAAAAGGCTATCAAACTTGTCATTGCTAATAAATTTCTTGTAATTAACTGTTTAATACTTGTCATTGCCAGTTCAGAACTTATTAATAAATAATATGTCATTGTCTACACATTTTTTATTATTTGTTCTTTAATAGTTGTCATTTCAACTTATACAAGGGCATGTTTGCCATTTAACTACATTTGCAAGATACCCGATTATGCATCACTTCTTCTCCTAGAATTTTGAAGTCTTAAGTAGCTAAATTGAAATATTATACTCCTCTGGTCCTAAATATAAAACCCTTGTACATACTACAAAAAAAGTCTTATATTTAGGACCGGAGGAGTAATTTTCAACCTCAGTCGTTTTTCTTTACCTATTTTCCGTTTTTTTCCCGCCATCGTTACTTATTTCCCCATTTAATGCGTATCAAAATGAGTTCATTACTTTCATATGATTGGATAATTCTATTTTTTAATAAATTATGTCATCAATAATCTCTTATTCTCCTTCCATAAAAAATATGTTTTAGTTTTTAAACTACGATGAGTTTATTTACAAATTCATTTCTTTTAAATTTTACTAAAATCGTTAATATTTTATTTAGAAGTGCTTGATACTTGGGAGTTGTGAGGCAAAGCAATTAGTCAAAAATGTCAATAAATTAAGTTATAAAAGAAAACAATAAAAAATTTTGATCATGTGAAAGCAATGAATTGGTTTAAATAGGCATTAATAGGGGGAAACAATAAGAGGAGGGATTTAGTATTAAAAATAGAACTTTTGTAAGTTTTAAAATGAAATTCTGAAATGTGTTAGATTTTCAAGTATTATTGAGTAAAATTTTTGAGATAAGTTTGCACCTTTACACAAATTAAATTTAAATTCAGGAGTTTTATGAACTCTTGCATGTTTATTATTAGGCCTTGCTCTTAGCTGCTGATCCAGTTTGATCTTTTTGAACATCTTTGTTTTAAGCTATTAGTTTGAGTTTCAAAGAATAGAAATTTTGGATGTCGTCTCCAACGTGATAATGGCGGCTTTGATTTTACTTCCACGTGAGCTATTGTGAGGAATTACCTTCCCGTTTACTCTTCTAAAGTAAGGATATTCAATCTGTTCCGTTGGTAGGCTCACTCCAGTCCCGATCATTTTAAGAGAGAACGGGATAAAAAAATTTCCGAGATGAGATAATTTCGGATTGGGAGAGATGGGAACGGGACTGAGTCTTCCCATCCCGGGATGTGCAAAAAAACATTTTGCAAAAATTAAAAAAAAAAAAAAAGCCCTAAACTAATACTCCCTCTGTTCCTTATTATAAGAGACACTTGATGCTTATGCCATGTTCCTAATATAAGACACTTACAAGTTGTCTCTACTTTTTTGTGTTTATATTTTACCCATATTTATTATCTCCAACTCACACTCTCTCTTTAATAATTTAATTGTTTTTCTCATGTTTTCTCTCCTTATTAATGAGGATATTTTAGAAAAAAAATTATTTTTATACATTAATTGTTCTTAACTAACTTACTTTTTTTCAAATCAACGTATTTCGGGTCTCTATAATAAGAAACGGAGGGAGTACCAAATACCGTCTCCCTCAGTCCCTCTCCAGCCTCCAGTTCTCTACACCCCACACTCACACGGTACACGATCCATCTCCTTCTCGCCTTCGCTCTGAAATTGCCCCTTCCTGTGCTGTTGCGTAGCCGTGCCTCGCCATGTCTAATGCCTCATCGTAGTTCTAAAAGGACCTTCTTGCGTTCGCTCTGCTGTCGCTGAAGCCTCTAATGCCTCGCCGTGACTTCTCGCCAGCTCGTCTCTCCCCGCGCCGTTACCGTGACTTACTCCTTCTTGCCTTCCCTCTGAACTTTTGAGTCTCATTGCGCCGCCGTTAATCCTTCTTGCCAGATCGCTCTGTCTCTCCCCGCGTCATCGTGAGACTCATTCCTTCTTGCCTTTGCTTTGAACTCTGAAGTCTAAAGTCTCATCTCGTGAATCCTTCTCAGTTCTATTCTGTCTCTCCCTGTGTCGCCCTGAATCGGCTCTGAACTCTCCCCGTGCTCACCGTGAGTCGTTCCTTGCCTCCACAAAACTCTCCCTCCAAACCCACCAAAAAAGGAAAAAAAAAAAAAAAATCAATCAGGGTCAGATTCATGCCTTTAGTTTGATTGAATCCAATAATCTTACTTCTCATTTGTTAAAAGAAAAAGGTCAAAATAACGCATGAAGGTTGCCAACAATCCACACAATTTCGAAGTCCATAATTTTCCCTGGCCACAGCGACAATGTTAGGCCCCAAAAAAAGACAAGAAGTTTTTCGACACTAAATCAGGCCCCAACAAAAAACTAAAGACAGTCCAAGAAAAAACAAGACGGGACATTCACGGGAAGGGACACAGAACCAAAACCCCGTCCCATCATTGTTCACAAGGACGGGACAGGGACGGCCCTGTCCCAGTCCGTCATGTCCCATAAACACCACTACTCTAAAATTAGGCTTAGAGGGTGTTTAGATACTCTAAAAAATACTTCTAAAAAGCACTTTTTCGTAAATCGAGATAAACTCTTCCATATATTTATCTCGTAGACCGTAAAATCACTTCTGAAACCATAGTTTGGTTTCCATCCAAACATCCCCCTTAGAGTTGTTCACAAGATTGTATTTCTATCCTGTGTCTCATATCATTTAATTTTTTTCAAAAAATTATAATTTTGGGTATGAATTTTTTTTTTAATGTTATAATGCTTGTTTTTCGTTGGGTTCAATGTAAAAAAGGTACAACAAATATTGTAAAAAAATACTACAAAAAATATTGACTTTCTG